CTGGCATACAGACTAATACCTTTTTTTGATCGAACAACTTCAATAACTAGGAAGTATTGAAGAAGACCTAAATTTTTAGTATGAAACTGCTTTCCCAAATAGTGTTTCTAGTATGAAACTACTTTTCCAAATAGTTCTTGAAATGGGCAATACCATCTGAGTCATTAACACCGATAGTGATGTCATTAACATACACAATAATAGCAATAATGCTTGCGGAAGCCCAATGAATGAAAACTGAATGATTATAGGTGGAGTGCTAAAATCTAAACTTAAGTAACACGTTACTAAACTTATCTAATTAAACACATGGTGATTGTTTCAAGCCGTACAATGTTTTGTTCAAATGATACACTAATTTTTCTTAGCATGGAGCAACATAACCTGGAGGTTGAATCATATAACCTCTTTCGGTAGATCTCTATGTACGAAGACATTCTTTATGTCTAGTTGATACAAGGACAGCCAGAAGTGACTACAATAAAAAAAGAACTCTAACAGATTTAAGATGAGCAATAGGAGAGAAAGTCCCACAGTAATACACACCATATGTTTATATGTAACCCTTAACAACTAATCGTTTCTTCAAACGCTCAACAGAGCCATCAGGATGATATTTCATACTGTAAGCGACAACTAAAAAGTTGTTTTTTACACCCAAGAAAAGTAATGTCCCAAGTATTATTTTCATTCATAGTCAGTTTCCATCCAAGAGATGTTAATGTCTGTTTCAAATAGCTAAGAACAAATAAAAAAGACAATGCTGATGCAAAGAGACAAAATTAGATATGGGATCTAGGTACAAGTACGAGTATCTTTCCGCAATGTAATACGCAAATCAAAAGAGGGTGATACAGTAGACTAGACATCTTAGAAGGAAGGACCTCAGTAGAATCAGGGGGTAGTCGGGGCGCTGTATTATATGAAACAACATGTCCGTCCGTGAAATGACGATAAACCTGTAATGGATGGTCAAAAGGAGAACATGGAGAAGAGACTCAATTAGGTACACAAGACAACATAAGTTCCTCTGACTAGTTACTAAAGTAGAAAAAAAAAAAAAGTGACATCGGCATTGACATAATCTCGACGAGAGGCAAGGTCGTAGCAGTGGTAACTTTTTAGAGTACGAGAGTATCTCATAAAGATACACTTAACCGTTCAAGGGGAAAATTTATCCCTATCCGGTTCAAGAAGATGAACAAATGCAACACAACCAAAGAGACAAAGAGTGAGACCAAAGGGTGATGTATTAGGATGGAATAAGGAGAATGGAGATTTGTGACTTCTTACATATGGGAACCAATGTAATAAAAGTAAGATTAATGCTTTTCCCCACAACATTGAATACACTCATAATATCATCCTTAGAAAAAAAATCGTTGAATACCCTTATAATGTCATCCTTAATATTATCCCAACAATTCTAATAGAAAGACATATTGAAACCATTAGAACCTTAGGCCTTTTCCTTATCCTTGTCATACATAGATATTCTAATTTCCTCCTCCTCGAATGATCTCACGCCAATTCGTTCTCCATGACAATATAGGACTCTAATCAACACCTTCAATATTTGGTCTAACATGAACATCTTTTGCATATTGGCTTTTGTTAAATTCAATAATCTCCTTGGCAATCGACAAAAGATTTGTCACAAGCTCACTTACTCAGTTTCTTGTCCTCTAATGACACTCTTTTTCCTCCTATCAGTTGTTATTCTATGGGAACACTTAGTATTATAATCCATTTAAATCTCATCTTTTGCCTAACATAGTTATCAAATTGAGATTTGTATTGGGAATCGAAACCCTAGAGTTGAGAATTGGGAATCGTAAGATTCGACAAAAAAGTTGAACAAAGATAAAAAAAAAATATGTATATATTTAAAATAGGCAAGATATTAAATATTGAACATTACTATATTTTAAAAATAAACAATGTGTATTCACTTGATACAATAATAGGAAGCTACACTTGAGTATGTACCTCTGTTACTTCTTTCTTAATGCATAATAAATTGTTCCATTAAAATGGCCACGATGAAATAGCTATTGTCAGTGAAGATATGTCTATCTAAAAGGGATATGAATGAAGTTTTTTTTAAATATATCATGGACAATTTAGTAAAATTGTATTTTAGTTAACGTAATTAATCTAACATGGGATATCAGTGATATTTTAAATAATAGAGGTGATTTCATTAAAGATATGCCGATTTAGGAGGGGTGTCAATGATAATTACCCTTAAAAAATAAATTTTTCATTAAAAGCAAAAATCAAAGCATGTGTTGAAGAAGTTGTAGGATGTGTTAGGGTTTGATAGATGATGAAAAATAAGAAGCATAATTGGAGTGAAGGAGACGTTGTCTCTGTGGAACAGTTGCTGAGAGATGTAGAGGTGCAAACATGAGATACAGAGAGAGATGAGTTTTATATTTGGCCGTGGGCATCTTCTAGGAAAATGATGCCGTTTTATTAGAAATTTGGTTTAAAAGAAATAAAACAAATCGTGCGATTCCTACTATTCATATCGAATTGCATGATTCTTGCGATTTCTTGTCAAAAATGATTCTCTAGTAAGATAGGAATTGAATGGGGATCAAATCGAATTGAATCGTAGGAATCAAATCACGAATTATATGATTTTGATAACAATGCTACCTACAACTAGTCTTTTCCCTCACAATACCTCCCCTTACTCGTTTCAAAAGAGGTCTTTTCTCTTAAATTGATCGATGGCCAATATATTATTATTCTCCAAACTATTAATAATTCCTCAATTTTCCTCAAAATCTTTGACTTTCTAAGTATGACATCTCTAAAAACCTTTTTATTCCATATTTTAAAATTTTCTCCCCCCCCCCCCGCCCCCTCCATTTCAACTTCTTCATAAATTTGATACCCTCCCACCTTTTGCCTTCAGCTCAATCATCACTCGGTAGCACTTATCTCCAAAAGAGTGATGAGTTAACCACATCCTTATACATAACAACAATGCCCCCAGAGGACCCACTTGAGGGAAGAAAAACTCAATACATAAATCCACACTCCCAAATACTCCTTGCCAAAGCTCCATCTACTAGTTCTAGTTCGTATTCACTTGCATTAGTTGCATGCCCTTGTGTGATGATGTGTGGATTTCGTTGTCGAGCCTTTAAACTTGTGGACGGGTTTTGTCAAAGAACATGGGCTACCCTGGACCCAGTGTTTTATGACTGTATTCACCCCTTGTTATGCTTTATAGGATTTTCTTATTAAATCAATGGTTTTCGTATTAGTAAGCTGTTCTTACTTGTTATCTGCAATACAACATATTTATGATTGGCAACTTTTAATAACAAACTTATTACTGAAAAATCCACTCACAGCAAAATGAGTGAAATGTGTTCTTAATCATGCATACTGTAACTAAGTTTTTCCTATAGGTGCAACTTTCATCACATCACCTTGTACTTTCCCATCCTAATGTTATTTCATCATGATTCTTACGTTGGGAGCTTAGGAATAGCACCCTTACAGTGTAGCATCTGCTTGGTGTGAAAATCTAGTCAATTTTGAATTGTCATCTCGTGCTGATTGTATTAAAATGCATGATGGGACACATGTTCTTCATTGCATGTGTCATTTGTTAAGGATTTTTGTCTAACTACCACATTGTTTGCCAAATGTCATCTTCGCAATCTGTTAGTCCATTTTAACAGTTGTTACTGCCATTGCCCACTTTATGTGTACTAACTTATTGTAGTCGTTGATTGAAATCTAACTCCAGCCAGAACCCTTTAACCTTGAAACCTTGGTAATTAAATATGGTTTTAAAGGCCATTACAGGAATCAAAAAGTGTTTTTCGCTTGTACATGTGTTATAACTCGTATGCGGGAGTTCTGCAAACTTGGAACCTTCTATTGGGGGGATTTGAGTAATAAGATTCATAGTCAGCAAATCATTACTTAAACTTGGCCTTAATATTCACATATGATAGTTTTTATACTAAGAACCACAAATACTTCGATTGGAGTGACGTATTTGTATCTGTTATCGATACTCTAGTATATATATCGGATACCTTCCGCAGTTATCAAATAATTAACCAAATATTTATTATTGTTAGATACTTGTTGGATACACCTCAGATACACATATCTATAGGGTGGATACATGCTCCTAATACTTAGTCCGGTGAATTGTGTAGAGTTGACTTAATCTTTATGCTAAGTGGTCTAGTAGTATAAGTTTGTGCCCAGGGCAAAGTTAGGGATTGGAAGCTCCTTACATACATCCTATAGAGAATTGTTGTGATTGAGAAGGTATGTGGATTCATGCACCCTAGACAGAATGGTGTTGGCCTAAATTTTGAGAATTTTTTACAACTTACTTGGACTAAGTAATCATTTTTTATGGCTCATGTTAAAACCAATGAATTCTATTGCACTTATATGCTAAGTCAAAGGTGAGAACTCACGAAGAATGACACCTATTCAACTTTAGGATTACATAAAGCATTGGATTTAAAACACCATTGTGCAGTCCCTATGTGGCCATGTCACACCAATATAAAATGTTTTAGTTTGGGATATGTTTTATCTCCTAATCCCTCAAATCCTAGTATTATAGCAATATTGTATTATATATAGACACACACACACACACATACATATAACAAGATAGACTTATCTTGGCCATATCATATTATACTTTTTAAGATTTTACCGTATCGTGTTGTATTCATATCCAGTATCCGTGCTTACTAGGTTCTATAGTAAACTGTCCTATTTCAACTAGGTCTAAAGTTAATTGTTTTTAGTTGAATATAGAGCATTTGAAACCTTGTTTGTGGTTTAATTGTTGAAACCATTTTTCTTTTTTTGAAATATAGGATGGTGCAAAATTTTTGACCTTATGAGAAACTTTTCTTGTGTTTTTTCTCTAATATGTGAGGATTTATTTGCCGATTTGGTGACTATGCAATTCAAAAGTCATTTTTTGTTTATTACTGCAGGCCGGAGTGTCTGGTTCTTTGACAGATCCTGCCCAACTGCCAAGGGATATTGATCTGTCCCCTGGACAACCATTAGCTTCCAATCAACCTTCTGGCAGCCTTGGTGTCATTGGTCGACGGAGTGTTTCTGACCTTGGTGCTATTGGTGATAACCTTGGTGGAACAACTGTGAATTCTGGGGGAATGCATGATCAGTTATATAATTTACAGATGCTTGAGGCTGCTTTCTATAAACTTCCTCAACCCAAGGACTCGGAACGTGCAAGGAATTATACTCCAGTATGAAAGTCCTTTGATCTGTAACTTGTGACTCCACTTGTATAAATTCAATTTTATTTATCATTTTTTTTGGCTCCTTGCAGAGGCACCCTGCTGTAACCCCTCCAAGCTATCCTCAAGTACAGGCACCCATTGTTAACAATCCTGCCTTCTGGGAACGTCTTGGAGCCGATAATTTCGGCACAGATAGTCTCTTCTTTTCATTTTACTACCAACAGGTTTTTGAGTTTTCTGTTAGTTTTCTTTTTTGTATTGCAACATAATTGTAGTGGCATAATGTCCAAGATCTTGTCTCAACTTATTGTGTCTGTAGAATACCTATCAGCAATATCTGGCTGCTAAAGAGTTGAAGAAGCAATCATGGAGATACCATAAGAAATTTAATACATGGTTTCAACGGCATGAGGAGCCAAAAGTTGCCACTGATGATTTTGAACAGGGGACGTATGTATACTTCGATTTCCACATTGACGAGCCACCAAATGGATGGTATGCTTTCTCAACAAATTTGATTACATTATCTGCACATATTGTTTGATACGTGTTGATTGAAACTTTGCCGCATTATTTTAGATGTCTGATTTATCTTCTTATCTGAGTTTCCTAGATAACTATAGTGCCCTATTTTCTTTTTCTTCTGGTTTGGTATATGGCCACTCATCATCTTAACACCATTGATTCAGCTGGCCTAGACTTGTAAAGATGTTGTTCTTCAATTTGCTTGAATTTTTAGGTAACAAAGTGCAATAGTCACTTTTGGGTGTCTGTTGGCCTTTGTTTGCTATTCCCTCTTCTTTGTGTTGATATTCAAAGCTCACATAGACGTAGAAATATGTTTTTCCTCAACTTGGCATGCTTTCAAAATTCTGTATTCTTACTCCTCTGCAGCGTCGTCGTAGATTTTTATATACGAATGTTTAATTGAGATGAGTACAATGGGCACTCTTGGGTTTTTGTCACACCCTAACTGACTTGGGTGTATAATGGCGGTCTTCGTGGCACCTTGCACCAAGGCACGCCATGAGATTGAATCAAGGTGATGCGGCTATGCGGTTCAACAGATTGGTGCGGACTGTGGCAGCATGAGACCACCCGGCCGAGCATGGCAACACGTGGTGGACTCAATTGAGGCAATGTGGGTGCATAACTTCGAATTGCATGGCATGGGCTGAACCCAGCATGCACAATGGTTCGTGAGGCAAGGCTGGCTACTGAATTTGGACACATAACTGGCACATGGCTGCTCAATGCATGTGACCAGGAGGATGTGGGCAGTTGCTGAATAAGGCTTATTCTGTGGGAAGCAGTTCTGGGCATTCCTAGCCAGATTCTGGTCCAGATGCATGCTAATGAGGGGCAGTTTCACATCAGTTACTGAATGGGTGAAACTACCTGCCAGGTTTTGCACAAAGATGAAGCCAGATGGCCAAGTCTGCTATGGAATAGTAGAATGTGGGTAAATACCATTTGGCAAATGAGGGTGTCATCTGCCATGATCTTGTATAAATGGGAGTGCTTGGGCATTCTGATAGTCAGAGAGAGTATTATGGCTTTGAGAGTTCCTTGTAAATTGTTGAATTCAATATATAAGGTTTGGGAGTGTTGTCCTAGTAAATTTGTGTGTGCCTTCTGTGTGAGTTTTTGTCCCTTGTTCTTGAGATTGAGTGGCTGGTTGTAGTAGCAACGCCTTCACAGATAGCCTCGAAACGAAAAATGAGTTGTTATCCCGTAATAGTTTGGTATCAGAGCGTTGGTTTTGGCAAAAAGATCAACTATGGCTGGCGGAACAAATGCAGATCTGAGGGAAAGGGTGGCACGTTTGGAGGAGTTGGTTGGTCCGATGAACCTGTGGCCCTTTCTGTGCAACTTGAGTTGTATCAGCAGTTTGAAAAGATGCGTGTTGCACAAGAATAGCTTCAAAAGACTGAATCTGATCACTTCAGTCTAGTGAAAAACGAAGTCGTTGACGTGATGGTTACGATTTTCACATGGACCGATGATATGGGGGAAAAATTGAGTTCCCTATAGATGGACGTTTCAGTGCTCAAAAAGGCACTGCAGAATGTTTCTTTGGCTTCTGGCAGTGAAAGCACTGAGAAAGCTAAGGTTCCTGACCCTAAGCCTTTCACAGGTAGTCGTAACGCTAAAGAACTTGAGAACTTTCTGTGAGATATAGGGCACTTCTTTAAAGCAGTCCGTTCACCGGATGTTGAAAAGGTAGATCTCACTAGCATGTACCTATTTGGTGATGCGAAATTATGGTGGCAAACACGATCTAAGGACAAGTCTCGTCCTCCAATTACGACTTGGGAGTCTCTATCTGCTGAAATGAAGGAGCAATTCCTTCTGAGCAACACGGCTTGGCAAGCTCGTGAATCATTGAGGAAACTTCGACATACAAGTACCGCGAGGGCGTACGTGAAGCAATTCTCGTCTCTGATACTGGATATCAAAAATATGTCGAAGGAAGATAAGTTGTTCAATTTCATGTCTGGCCTTCAAACTTGGGCGCAAGCTAAACTTCGTTGCCAAGGGGTGAAGGACTTACCCGTTGTTATATCCGCAGTAGATGCGTTGGTTGACTACAAGTCGCAGGCAAATCCTCCAGAGAAGGAATCAAAAAGGAAAGCCAAGTTCCCTAAGAAGGACAAGCAGAAGAAAAAGGCTGAGAAGTCTAGCAGCGCAGAAAAACAGACTGACAAGCCCTCTTCATCAAAGGGAGATGTTGACTCAGGCTGTTTTATCTGTAATGACCCTCATCGTGCCAGAAATTATCCCAAGAAGGAAAAGCTCAGTGCCCTCATGGTTGAGGAAACTGACTGTTCTGACGAACCAACACGAGTCAATCCATTACAACTCCTTAATGCAATTCGCAAAGAGGAGACGGTGGCAAAGAGGGAGTTGATGTTTGTGCAGATTCACCTGAACAATGTGGCTATCCATGCAATGGTTGATACAGGTGCAACCCACAATTTTGTTTCTGAACGCGAGGTGCAATGGCTTAGTCTGGCTTTGGTAAGAGATTCTAGCCAGACTAAGGCCATTAATTCAGAGGCAAAACCAGTAGGCGGTGTTGCTAGAGAAGTCCCTTTAAAAGTCTGTGAATGGCAAGGACCATGTGATTTTATGGCAGTCCCTCTTGATGATTTCCAAGTAATTCTTGGACTGGAATTTCTTACAAAGTCAAAGGTGTCTGTTATGCCTCATTTGTATGGGATGTTCATGATGGACATGCCTAGCCCCTGTTTTGCTCCCCTCACTAAGGCCAAGTCTTCGGGAGAAATGCTATCGGCCTTGCAAGTAAAAGATGGCTTGCGGAGAAGAGAAGCAACATACTTGGTTGTTCTGTTTGAGGAAGAGGAGTTCAAAACAGTGCAAGTCCCTAAACCAGTGCAACAATTGCTGGTTGAATTCAAGGACGTGGCACCCAAAGAATTGTCAGCAAGATTACCACCTAGACGAGAGATTGATCATGTCATCGAGTTGATTCTAGGGGCAAAAATCTTTACTCAGGCTCCTTATCGAATGTCTCCATTAGAGTTGGCGGAGCTAAGAAGACAGCTTGGGGGTCTGTTGGACATTGGATTCATTAGACCTTCCAAGGCACCCTATGGAGCCCTTGTTTTGTTTCAAAAAAGAAGGATAGATCCTTACGGCTTTGTGTTGATTACAGAGCTCTCAACAAAGTTACTGTCAAAAACAACTATCCAGTGTCGCTTGTTGACGAATTGTTTGATAGATTGGGGAAGGCAGTCTTTTTCACTAAAATGGACTTGCGGTTGGGATATCATCAAGTCAGAATTGAAGAAGGAGATGAGGCAAAGACCGCTTGTGTGACGAGGTACGGTTCATATGAGTTTTTAGTCATGCCTTTCGGCTTAACAAATGCCCCTGCTACATTATGTAACTTGATGACCAATGTATTTTGAGAATACTTGGACAAATTTATGGTTATTTATCTGGATGATATAGTTGTTTATAGCTAGACTCTTGAGGAGCATGTTGAGTACCTTAGGTTGGCTTTGACAAAGTTGAGGGAAACACAGTTGTATCTGAAACCAGAAAAATGTGAGTTTGCCCAAAAGGAATCTCATTCCTCGAGCATATTATTTCTGCGGGTGTGGTGAAGATGGACCCAAAGAAAGTTGAGGCTATTGTTGATTGGCCTGTCCCTACTAAGGTTACAGAACTGAGATCTTTCCTTGGTTTGGCGAATTATTATCGGAAGTTCGTGAAGAATTATTCGAAGAAGGTGGATGTCTTGACAGATCTTCTGAGGAAGGACAAGACATGGAACTAGCCTTACGAATGCCAGGAGGCATTCGATCGATTAAAGGCGGTGGTGATGACTAGTCCAATTTTATGATTGCCTGACTTTGATTTGCCTTTTGAAGTCCATACAGATGCATCAGACTTTGCTCTTGGAGGGGTGTTGGTGCAGAATGGGCATTTGGCGGCGTTTGAAAGCAGGAAGATGAATGATACTAAGAGACGGTATTCAGTATACGAGAAGGAGATGACAAGTCATTCACTGCATCAATGCATGGAGGCATTACCTGTTAGGGAAGCATTTCCTTGTGTTGACAGACAATGTGGCTACTCGCTGCTTCAATTCCATGAAGAAGCTGACACCAAAACAGGCAAGATGACAGGACTTTCTTGCTCAGTTCCATTTCACGTTGCAGTACAAGCCTGGCAGTGCAAATCAGGTTGCTGATGCCCTTAGTCGGATCCCAATTGTTGATGGGGCGATGGCTGCACTTAGTCAGATTGTAGGAGATATACTGCAAAGAATTCAGGATCAGACAAAAGATGATCCCGTGATCAGCTTTCTGTTGAAGCAGGTTCATGAAGGAGTGACTCGACGGTTTTGGGTAAAGGATGGTGTACTCTACGACAAAGGAAGGAGACCCTATGTTCTGAAGTCAGGCGGACTTGGACAAATGTTGCTGAAAAAAACTCATGATGCTCGATAGTCAGGGCATCCGGGGCAGGAATAGACCCTT